CACGCAGCTTAATGTGCCACTTGCAGAGGCCTCATTTCCGCCTTACTGCAGGTTAAGCGCACACGCCAGGAACCCGCCAGTAACTCAAACCGGCAGCTGCCGCTCATTTGAGAGAGATAATTTGGAACTGTTTTTAGCTCCGTTTTAGAATCTTTTTTCTCAGGTTTTAGGTGGAAACTCTTGCCCCACGTTGGGTGCCAACAAATTAACTAGGAAAAACCCCAAACAATTAGAAATTATCCATTAAAAAAAAGCACTCTCCTGAAAATAAAATCCAAAAGCCATCTTGTGAGGATGGAGTGGAGGTGTTAACTAATGGCCCTCTGACAGTTACATGTTCATAAGAAGGTGGGTAGATGGGATCAGAGCCTGCCCCTCATATCCTATTCTTCTTTCATGAATTAAGACATGAATAATGCTAATATACTAAGGCATGAATTAAAAGATTGTGAAAAGCAAAACTTTAACATGTTTTTCTAATGCTTTTAGAGTTTTGTAATCACCTTGAGTAAGGATGGATTTCCTAAAAATGCAAAACAAACCATAATGGCCAAGATAGGTCAGTTCCATCGAAGCTAAGACTTTGTTTATTACAGTATCTTAAAAAATGTGGAAGTCAAAGTCTACTATAAAAAGTGACCAAGGATTACTGTCCAAAGTTCATAAATAATAGACAAAAGATTACAGGTAGATGTTTCAATGAAGAGGCAACTTTTAAAGACGTTTATAACAAAATGGGGACTTAGAAAGTGCTCAGAAGGGAAGGCTATAAATATAAAAACACCTAATAACATGCCACCAATCCGTTCACAGGAGCTGTGCCTGTGTGCTCTTGACCTCTGCTTTCTTTCTCGTGTTATTAATTGTTTAATGCGGCAGTAGGCCTGTTTCTCCCGACCTGAGAAATATGTTCAAGGCTTTACAGGACCCCAGATTTCCTGTGTCTTCTAAGTTTGTCTACTGTATAAGTCAGTTGTACTCACTGAGTTTTGGATTCTATTATGAAGTCTTTGCCAACTTTTATAGTCAATATGGATGGGCTGTTTGTTGTACTTTCCCTGGAGGAAGGCAATGAAGGAGGGGTACGGCATTTCAGATCATTGTCTCTGCCACTAGCCTAATGGGTGACATTCCTTCAGCTTCAAAAATTAAGTCAAGTTTTAAACTTTCAGTAATAATGTATAATATTATTTTATGCTAAAACCTGTTAGACCCATTTAGCATTAATTATTTTATGTAAATGTTTAGTTTTGCTTTTCAAATATCTAACAGAACACTGCTGGAAAGGATAGATTGATGTCGTTATAAAGCACAGAGCAAACGCTAATCTTGAATTACAGTGTCGGCCATGTCGTGTGTTAAACCAAAGACTCTGTTAGTTAGAGCTGTGGGTTTGAGACCGTGTGCAGCCTTTCTTCTTCTTCTCACTATTCTTTTGTCGTCTTAGACGTTTAAGACCTAGAGACCAAAGGTGCAAAGATGACACGTCATCAGAGAGCCAACCGGCCAAGGTCCCGGCGAAGAGAATGTCCTCCGAGTCCGTGAAAACAGAGGGAGCAGAGGGCATCTACGAAGATTACTATCCAGGCATGGCCTTTACATGTTCTTCAGCTGTAGCCCTTCCTTAACTAGGAGCTTTGGTGTCCACCTAGTTCCATGAGGTACAGCAGGTGGAAAGGCCTCCAAATGTGAAACCGCTTCTTAAAAGCATCATACTCTAAATACTGATACAGATAATGATAAAAATGACAGGAATGCCCCCGGCACCACCAAGGATGCCTGATGTCTCTAATCTTTTCATAGTGTGATCACCATGAACTGTAAGACCTTAAAATGCAACAGTATTTTCTTAAGTCTTCACTGCTTCCTGAGTGTTGTCTCTCTCTGTCTCTCTGTCTCTGTCTCTGTCTCTGTCTCTCTCTCCCTCCCCCTCCCCAACTCATAACTACTAGTATCCTGATTGCTCTGCATACCCCCCTTTTTCAGTCCTCCTTTGTCTTTGTTCAAATTCTACCATACCCAGTGTGTCAGTTTTTGACCACTCTGTTCTCTGTGTAGCTCTTCATGTCCCCAGTTTATAAACTCGGGCCTGTCTGCAGTACTGGCCTCCAGAGAGCTTCGCTGTAGAGTGCCTCCCTGCTGTGTCCTCTAGAACTAGTCGGTCCTCAGGTATCTTCTCCCAGGACTTCCTTCCCACTGGCAGCCCACTGAGCACGTGGAGGTGCTGTGTGAACAGCCTTCTCTAAAAACAAATCCACATGCAGAAGCCTCTTGAGCGGTCACCACTACAGACAGCGAGTTCCAGGACAGGCTCCAAAGCTACACAGAGAAACATTCTCTCTCTCTCTCTCTCTCTCTCTCTCTCTCTCTCTCTCTCTCTCTCTCTCTCATGACCTAGATAAGATGGAACTACAATCAATTTGAACAATATCAAGCAAGAAACACATACTAAAATCCAGAGAAGTCTAGAGCGTAGGTAAATGGTATGTTACAAAGATCATCTCAAAAGGTATCCTATCCTAAAGAACCTAAATCTAATAATTAATATGTTCTATCTAAGATATTATATATATACTAAGTTGTAACTATAACTGCTAGTCTTCAATCCCATCAAAGACCTGAGAGGGAATATAATGGTCCCTGAGAAATGGTAGATGGATGCAAGCAACTTTCGGGAATCTTGCAAGAGTAGACAGAGACAGCTGGCAGCCTGGACAGTCACCTAATGTTTCTTAACATTGTTGGTGCATTCAAATTGGCTACAGGCCTAGAGTATTTGACAGATTATTTTCAGAAGCAGGAATTCTGAAAGACCATCTTACCCTGTCTTGGCAGAGTACAGTGGTAGCTTTCCTTGTGTTCCGCTTGTCCTGAAAGGACAGCATTCGTACTGTCAGCAGTCGAGGCAAGGGCAGTTCTTTGCCCAGTAAGCCATTTTGTGCCACATTCTCCAGCTACATAGGTTGTTTCCAGGTTTTGGATATTATGAATAGTGCTGCTATGAACATAGATGAGCATGTATCTTTGTGGTTTAATTGAGCCTTGCTTGGGTATATGCCCAAGAGTGGTGTGGCTGGGTCTTGAGGTAGATTGATTCCCAATTTTCTGAGAAACCGCCATACTGAACCACAATGGATGTATAAGTTTGCACTCCCACCAGTAGTGGAGGAGTGTTCCCTTTGCTCCACATCCTCTCCAACATTGACTGTCATTGGTGTTTTTGATCATAGCTATTCTGATAGGTGTAAGTTGGTATCTCAGAGTCGTTTTGATTTGCATTTCTCTGATGACTAAGGATGCTGAGCATTTCCTTAAATGACTTTCAGCCATTTGAGATTCTTCTTTTGCGAATTCTCTGTTTAGCTCCTTAGCCCATTTTTTAACTGGATTTTTCAGTATTTTGATGTCTACTTTCTTGAGTTCTTTATATACTTTGGAGATCAGTCCTCTGTCAGATGTGGGGTTGGTGAAGGTCTTTTCCCATTCTGTAGGCTGTCTTTTTGTCTTATTGACCATGTCTTTTGCCCTACAAAAGTTTCTCAGTTTCAAGAGGTCCCATTTATTAATTGTTGCTCTCAGTGTCTGTGCTGCTGGTGTTATATTTAGGAAGTGGTCTCCTGTGCCAATGCGTTCAAGAGTACTTCCTACTTTCTCTTCTATCAAGTTCAGTGTAACTGGATTTATGTTGAGGTCTTTGATTCACTTGGACTTGAGTTTTGTGCATGGTGACAGATATGGATCTATTTGTAATCTTTTACATGCTGACATACAGTTATGCCAGCACCATTTGTTGAAGATACTTTCTTTTTTCCATTGTATAGTTTTGACTTCTTTGTCAAAAATCAGGTGTTCATGTGTGTGGATTAATGTCAGGGTCTTCAATTCGATTCCATTGGTCTGTATGTCAGTTAAAAAATACTTTTTAAGACTGTGTCATAGATATTTTCTATAGTTGCTTAAATGTTAGTGGTTTAGATGTAGAAATTTGAGGAGATCTGGGATGTAACAGAAGGGCATAGCATCAAGCAAGTGTCAGTTTAGGAATATTGAAATGGAGAAGGCGATCTCTGTAGAGCCAAAGTTACAAGTTAACTGAGTGACCAAGCAATTGGATTCTAGTGAAATGCTGGAGTGTATGATGTAGCAAAAAGCCAAGAACTTGAAAAGAGTAGGATTTTATTTTTATTTTTAAAGGGCACAAATTGTTTTGGAAGTGGTGAGTAGGGAGTGATAAGGAAAACAAACCCACTTTCCAATCTGGGCTCCATGGAGCATGAGACTATAAACAGCTGCCGTTTGAGAGTCCTTAGGGAAGGACTACAGCGTACAACTCTGTCTCCTTTAGCCAGTCCAGGGAAGCCGACATCCTCTCATTGTCCATCACCTGAGCAATGCTTTGCTGTCCTGTGGTTTCTTCTGCCTTAACTTCTCATCCTCCTCCAAAATTCAAAGCCTCGCCATCTCTCGCCATCTGATTGCGTCTCTCAGCATCTGGAACGGATGAGCTCAGGCATCTCCTCTGAGCAGACAAGTCCCTAAGGGGGACTAAAGGCGACAGTGGCACTTGATGAGATGCAATGGTCTCATCTACACTCACTTGCTTTGTTTGTAGTTAGGGTGTTTTGTCACTGACTCGGTTCTAGCTCAGTGCCTTTGCTGCAGAGGTAGTTGTTAAACGTGAAAGAACAAATAAAATGGCTTCTAAAGAGTCCTCTTGCCACCAGTTCCCTCGGTCTTCATATGTAGCCCACCATAAGTAAGTCCTAGAAATACGAGCAATACCCTTCTTACCCTTCTGCATTCGTATTTAAATATATTCTGTATGGGTCCCAAGTTAAAGTTAATCAAAAGATGTCTTTCCTGCGAGTGTTCACTCATACTCTAAAGTTGTGCTCTATTGATAAAATGGTCACACAGAGCAGTCAACATCCACCTTAGCAAGGACTGTAATGGTATTGACTAACGTCATCCTTACAAGTGCCTACCGGTCTTACTGTATGTAGCCAGGGGTGGAGTGTGGAAGAGAAGAATGAGGTCATTATGAAAAGTTGTCACTGTCATTAGCCTCTATTCCAAGAGGCTCCCACACCTCCCTGGCCCACATGGCGGCCTCATTGTTAAGAACACCCTCTAGACAAGGGCAGGGGCTGTTTGTATCCCTCCCACACTTTACCTCCTCCTTTCAAAGGGAGGGAAGGGAAGGCAGGCATGCTACTTGCAAAGGAAAACAGCTACAAGAGTAGCGCGTTCTCCTGTGAACCCAGGCGCCTTGGCTCAGCATGTGCCCCTAGTACCTCATGTAATAACTGAGTATATTGCTTGGTATGTGAAATTACTATGGTGTTATTAGAGCTCATAGTAGATACTCAGTTCATAATGCTTTTCCTCGCAGGTTACCTTGAAGAAAAGTTCGGTCAACAATGTTTATTGGCTTCAAAATCAGTTGTCCCCGAGAGAAGGAAATCAAAAGAAAAAGAGGAACAAAGTTTTACTCATACAAAAGCGAAGAAAGCCCGCTTTAAATTGTATGACAGGGCAGGTATGCTGCAGGCCTGCCCCATACTATGGGAAGCAATGCATGCTTGCAAGCTTTCCATGCTTTCCATGCCCGTGTTGGACACTGACCTCATGGAAAAGGAAAAGTGTGGCTGAGCCTTGCATGTTTGGTGCCTTAAAGAACTGCTCATTCTTCTCTTATTTTTGAAACTTGCAATAGCATTAAAATTGACAAGGTATTCAGTGATTATGTCCTTACTGAAGATACTCTGGTTATAGTTTTAGAACTCCATGCAGGATAAAGTATAGCTTTGTTTTATGCTTCTAGTAAAAATTGTATGCGTGTGTGTGCGTGTGCATGCACGTGTGAGTGTGCGCGTGTGTGTGTGGGGGGGGGGGTTATAACAGGGTCTTGCACATGCTAGGCAAGCATTCCACCGCCTAGCTTGATTGTCAGCCTCTGGTTTTCTTAACAAAGACTCACTATGTAGTTCAAGCTGGCCTTGAAATTGAGATCCTCCTGCCTCAAACTCTGGAATTACAGGTCTGCACTACCTGGTAGATTTGAGATTTATATCTTTATCTGATACAAAGATTAAATGCCCAAATAGTTAAACACATTTTCCCATGAACATTTTGACACTTTCTTTATATTTGAAATTGCTATTCTAATATCATAAATCTTGTAAAGGAAACTTTCCTGTTTCTTACTAGAACACCATGACCCAGAGAGGAGTTTATCATCAGAACCCCTTATTCACCCAGGACCATCCAGATTTCTCAGTATCTCAGCAGAAACCCCTGCATCTGTGCAGATTCGGCCTCCCTTGAGTGCTGGGGGTCCTGCGACTTCTTCTAATCAGTGGAATGATTGACTGTCTTCTCCTGGGGGGAGAGTGCATTGTGTCAGGGTCTGTCTTGCTAGCAGATTTAGTCTAGTCTCTTTTGCTGGCTTTGAGGAAACAGTGAAGAGTTTTTATCTTAGTTTTGGTGCTGTTTTATAAAATGGCACAAGTTCCATTTGATTGTTAGCAAAGGAATTGTTTTCTTCAGATGCCATGCATGACGTCTGGTAGGCCTGAAATATAGAATTCCGTTTTGGAATTGCTGGCGCTGCTGGCACACCCTGTGTGCTTTTTCAAAGCTCCTGTGATTGGTTCTGTTGTTTAATAAGGAACTTCCACACAGCAGAGTAAATAGTCACTAGAGAGAAGAAAGAGCTCACAGAATGGGAGAAAACATTTTCAAACTGTTCACTGGACACGAGGACATTTCCAGAATATACAAGGAACAAAAAACAAAACAAAACAAAACAAAACAAAAAAACCCTCAGGAGCCACCTGCCAGTGAGCCAGTGGGCAGCTATCTGAATAGTCACAACAAAAACACAACAAAAGGTATAAATGCAAACAAGTGTGTGGAAACTGTTACACACCACTAATCATCAGGGAAATTTAAATAAGAAACACAACGAGAGACCATTGCACACCAATCAGAACAGTGAAAGAAATTACAAGAACTAGCAAGGACGTGGAGAATAGGAGAGAGGTCCACTGCCAATGGGCGTGTAAGTTCCTACAGTCGTGGTGAAGGACAAGGAAGAGGGAGACGAAGAGAGCGTGAGTCACAAAGACCGACATTTTCTGAAGCTCCGCAGAGGAGTTTGACGATTCCCAACACAGGGAACTGTTTAAGGAGAGGGAACTGGTAATGACTGGTCTGGTCATGGTAATGACATGACTGTCACATATATGTATTGAATTATCACATTGTGCCCCTACAAATGTGTACACTGTGAAACTTAATTTCAAAACTGAAAAAAAGTATACAATGAAGTTTAAGGGGTAGTCTTCATAACATGGGGAATAGAAACAAAAACAAAACACAAAGATTATGTCAAGGAGCAGGAAATTATTATCTACCAGCAAAGAGATCAAGAAATAGGGCTTGGGCCGGACGGTGGTGGTGCACGCCTTTAATCCTAGCACTCGGGAGGCAGAGCCAGGCGGATCTCTGTGAATTCGAGGCCAGCCTGGGCTACCAAGTGAGTCCCAGGAAAGGCACAAAGCT